TAAAATTATTTATTTATTTATTTTAAATTAATAATTAAATAATAAAAAATTATATCATGCCATTTTTTGGGCCCGAATTTTACAATTTCTACCAATATTTGGTTTTCATATTAGTGATTAGTGTGATATTATTACTGGGTTAGTGTAACTCACTCTTTTATTAACCATCTCAGATCAAGAAGATCAGTATTTAGATCCCGATCAGTAAGAAGGTTGTAAGTAGTTCACCTATCGGACTCCTTTCAAATGCTAGTGAAGGTTAATTCTTAGAATATTTATTTAATTATTTTAATTACCGTTTGTCTTTTTTTTTTTAATGAACAATGTAGAAGGGACATTTCTATATCCCTATTGAGTATTCCAATTTACTATGTAAGGAATGTAAATCCTACATTATTATTCGCTTCCGCATTTAAAATATAAATTCATTTCCTTTGAGTTTCGGGTTATTACATTGAGTAATTATCTTTATAGGTTGATTTTGAAAAACTTGTAACGGTAAGTAGGAATAAACGCTTTTCTTTATGTTAAATGAATTTACTTAAATTAAGGGTTTCATTAGTTATTTTAAATTTTTTTTACTAATATTCGGTTTCTGTATCAGTGATTAGTGTGATATTCTTACTGAGTTAGTGTAACTCATCCTCCTATTAACAATTTTAGTTCAAGAAGACCAAGATCTAGATTCTGATCAACATGAGAGTTGTGAGTAGATTTTCTCTCCGACTCCATCGAGTGTTAGTGGAGGTTAACATCCTAAGACATTTATTTACTATTATTTATTTCATTTCTTTTTACGAACTGTTGTAAAATGGATATTCTCGTTATTGAGCATCCGTAATTACTGTGTATGAATGTAAACTTTAATTATTGTTTGTTTCCGCATTTAAAGTATGAATTCATTTTTTTTAAATTTTGTATTTTTACATTATGATTGAGAATTTGACAAATGTATATTTTAGATATTTATAATAAATAAAAAATATATATTTTTAGTTATATGTAGTTTATTATATATTTATATATTATCTTTTAATTATATAGTTTTAATTTTGATTTATTTTGTTTTAAAAAATTTTAAAACCAGACCAAAACAAAATTAAATATTATGCTTTAGTTTTAATTAAAACCAAAAAAATGAAAGGTGAAAACTAAACCTAAATTATATTTTCAATTTGTAGAAAGCAAATTACGTACGTAACACCATATTAGAATGGTACAAGTTAAGAACATTATTATTATTATTATTATTATTATTTTAAAAAGGATAAGTTTTCGTGTCAATATTTTAATGGGCATTGATTTATGATAAATTAAAATTATAAAAACTTATCAATATCATATTTTAAAATATTAAATTTATATATTACGTAAAGATAAAGAAAGGTGCGTACATGTATTGTTTTAACTGTCTTGGCAATTAAAGTGAATTTTATAATTAATAATAATTGTAAGGTTGGAAGGAGTCAAAACATACTCAAAAAATTTTGAAATTTGTATAGTAATTATATACATGTGGACTTTGAGGTTATTTGTACTAAGGGTAAAAGAAAAATAATAATTTCACTTTATTTATTAATTTATTTACTTATTTTAAAATGTAAATGTTAATATGGGAAAGGAAAAAAAAAATATCAAGCCATAAACCCAAAATTATAATCTAAAATGTACCCAGAAACTTGATTGACCGGAACTAAAACACGGTCAACAAATAATTTGACTTACGTTGACTGCACCCCATAACATATAATTGAGATTTAATATTTCCCTGAATTTAAATGGATTAATGGGCAAAAGAAAAGGCCAAGAAACAGGACGTTCAAAATTTATGGCAATTAAATTAATTAAGCCGGCAATTTTTATAATTATTTGGAGACATGTTCAATCTCTTGACGGATGCAATTTTATAATTATATAATTTAAAATTTATTAATATTAATATTAATATTTAAAAAATGGAAAATCACCCCCCATAACTCAACCCATTACTATGAGATTCCGGTCTGACACGGACATGCAATATGAACACCACTCACCGTTGAATTCAAGTGGTAATTTCTAAATATTTTATATGGAAATTTGAGCTTTTCTAATTATTTAATTCTGGGTTTTCTCTTTTCCCATGACTAATTTTACAAAAATTTAAAAAAAAAAAAGAAGAAAAAAAGGAAAGAGAAAATGTTAGGTTACATTACCGACCAAAATTGTAAAAATATAATATAATATAATAAAGCATCACATTAATTGTAATTATAATAATGAGAAAAAAAAAAAAAAAAGAAGATGTAATGTGCATCGAGTTGATCACCAATATTTATAAAATGTTAAACAATTGGATCGTTCTTATCAAAACTTAAAATTTTTTAAATATTTTCATTAAATTATATATGAAAAGATGCCATTTTAGTTTCTGTGAATATATAAATGTAAATAATAATAATTAATTGCATTTTTTCTTGGGTCAATGGTTGTGGTCCCGTGCAAATAGGAATTAAATAATTGTTTGATCTATCATTACCCCCATTTTCATCATCTTTATAATAATTTCTTATAAATTATTTATTTTTCTAAAAGATAGATCCAAGTTTTGGTGGCAAAATTGGTAAACATGCAACTTGTTTTCTTTTCTTTTTTTTTTTTTTAAATTAAAATGATAATTAAATTTATACAATTTCAAACCCAAAAAAAATAAATAAAAAAATAAAATATTCTTTGTGGTAATTAATTTAGTAACAGTTAATCATGTTTTTATAATACTATTAGTTTCTTTTTTTCAGGAAATATCTGTTATAAAAATAAAATATTAATAATTTGCGTATAAAATAAAATTAAAATTTAGAAATTAATTAATAGAATATTAAAATGAGTAGGAACATGTAGAGTCATAAACATTTTTGCAGTCACTTTAACCATAGAGAGGAAGAAAGAGTTAATTTGGTTGATCAAACTTGTTGACATATGCAGCCATAATTAAGGAGTCAGTGCTCTTCAAATCTTTTTATGGGACCCTGCAATTAACCCATCACACAGCCATTCTCTCTCTCTCTCTCTCTCTATATGTATATGTATGTATATATATATCATCCAAATATTTTAAATAAATAAATATAAAAAATAATAAAAATGAAAAATGGTTATGTTCGATGTGATCTAAATATTTTTCACTCAAATGTAATATTATTTTTGGCATTTTTGTCATTTTCCTCATGTTACCAATTCACAATTGGCCAATGCATCATCATACATGGAAAACACTGACTACTACCATTTTTCTGTCTTAAGAAAAGCCAAATTTTATGGGAGTTTTAGCTGCTGGGTTTCTTGATTTATAAATGAGGGATGAGTGAAAATTGGAATGAATAAATAAAAAAAAAGTTAAAAGAAAGAAAAAGAAATGTGAATGCATAAATTCAATTATTATTATTATTAATATTAATATTATAGAAAATGTGGAATGTTTTAGGAGGCCCCATAGAAATGTCATGCTTGGCTTAGGCCACTCCTCCAATTTCTTTTCTTCATGCTTTAGCAACCAATTTTACTTGACATTCACTCCAAATTTAAGAATAATAATAATAATAATAATATCTCTAACCCACTTTCCTTACCCTTTAATAAAAACAAAACAAAGAAAAAGAAAAAGAAAAAGAAATTCATCTACCCACTTTCATTTTTCTATTTATTATTTTCTCCACCAGATTCCAACTAAAACCTCATATATTTATATTTTAACATTTATTAATTAATTAACCCATTTGTATACATTATAACAAAAAATATATATATATATATTATGATTAAATATTTTTTTATTTATTTATTTTTTTTAATCTGTACACTCTTTAGTAAAGTTAGGAACCCAAATTAAAAAAATAATTTTCTGAAACAAAAAACTCTCTTATTATCTCACTATTTTTCATTCGTATACCCAAAATAAAAATTCCTACTCCAGAAATTCCATCCATTTTCTCCACTCTCTTCTTCAAAAATACAAAAAAACAAAAAAACAAAAAAAAAAAAGAAAAAATTCAACTAGTAAGAAAAATATCACTGTGTTTTGTGCTCTTCTCCAGTTAATTCTGTTCTTTAATTTCAGAAAATCCAGTTTTTGTTCGTTAAAATCACTGTATAAGCTCTTCTTCAACCTTAAACTAAGTTTTTCAGTTTTGGTAGTTCAATCTCCATTTTTCTTTTAATTTTTCCTCTTCTTTCTTTTCAATTTGAACATCCTCTCTTCCAATTATTATTTTTTTCTACCTGGAATCAGTTCTTTTTTAGCTTTATTTTTCAAAAGCTTAAATTTGTTATTTAGTTTGCAATCTAAAACTTCAAATGGGTTTTTGATATAATCTTACCTTAAAAGAGAAAAGAAAAAAAAGCTTCAGTCTTTAACCATGGAGGCAACACGAGAAGCTGTGAGTGGCACTAGTGGTGGGGTCACAGTGGTGGGATCGGATGCTCCATCCGAGTACCACATAGCTCCAAGGTCCGACAACCCGAACCCATCAACTGGATCCGCACAACCTCCTCCGCCGCAACCGGCGTCTCAGGGGGGCGCTCCGCCGCCGCCGCCGCCGCCGCCAGCAGCACCCGTTTCAGCGGGTTTGCCGATGAAGAAGAAACGAGGAAGGCCTCGAAAGTATGGTCCTGACGGCTCAGTGACCATGGCTCTTTCTCCAAAGCCGATATCATCGGCAGCGCCACCTCCTGTAATCGACTTCTCTGTCGAGAAGCGTGGTAAAGTGAAGCCGGCAAGCTCGTTTAGCAAGACAAAGTACGAGCTGGAAAATTTAGGTGAGCCAATCTCTCTCTCTCTCTCTCTATATATATATACTATATATATATATAGGGACTTAGCAAGTGAAGTGAGTTTGTTTTCCTGCTCAAAGTTGGCGCTTTGATGTTCCATGGTGAATTACAGGATAAGGATTGAATTGGGTATGGGTTTTGATCGGGTACGGATATGCTTTGTTGGGTGAAGGTGGGACCTGGTGGGTGTTGATAGATTTTCGTATAGAATCATTTTGCCACTTGTAATCTTCTTTTTAGGGAGAAGAAATTCGTGGAAGCTTCTAATTTTAAGGTAGCTGGTAGTGACGCTGGGAAGGAGGGATGGACGAAGTTTGCTTTTTTTGTTTTGTGCTTTCTTGATGTTTACTTGTTACCTTTTTAATGTTTGCCTTGTTGCTTTCCTTGTTAGTGAATAAAAACTCTCAAACCTCTTCTACCTCTAGTGGGTCTATATGAATATCACCAGTTATGTAAGCTTTTTGGCTTCATTCATATACTCTGCAGTGTTCATATTTCCCCCCAGTAAATATTTTCCATTCATATACTCTTTTTCAACTCTGTTTTTTACAATTCCATCAGCCTTCCTTTCTGGGATTTTTACTTCTAACTTCCCATTAATAAACCCACCAGAATTGCTTGTTTCTTTTTTTGGAATCGTGGTATTAATATCTCCAAGTTTTTTTTCGATTGGATTCTAATCAAAGGAATTCCTCTCTTTTTCTTTCCATTTCCTGGCATGGCCATTTGGGTAGGGCTGCTAATCTCTGTCCCTTATGATTGGATGTGGCTTCTTGAGTTCTGTCGTTTTCTTACTCTCTTAGTTTTCCATTTTTAATATCAAGTAAAAATGGCATTGATATTGCATACTTGACCTTACCATTTGATGATTTTGCTTCTGAAAGTATGATAAGAAATGCCATTCATCTGGTTCTGCACATTATGAAGATAATGATTATCATGTACGGAATTTAAATTTCATCCTTCAATGGATATGTTGGATATTTCTGGAGCTGTGGTGTAGCACCTTTTTCATGTGTGTTTTAGGTTTCTAAATTTATCACTCTGCAAATGAAAGCTATTGTTTTGTTGTATACATAAAAAAAAAATTGTATCATCTTGTTGATATCAAGATGATACCCCACACTCAATACAGAATGCTCTCCAGGAACAGGAGAGTGCCTGAATCTTACATTTTTTACGAATATCAAATGATAACAGAATTCATGGTGACAACAACAAGGAAACTGAGCAATACAGAATGTCTGGCATGTTTAAATATCATGATTTGGCATAAACAGATGACCCTTTCATGATGGGGAAGTGGCTTAGAAGGGAATAGGTTTGTTCTGGAAGAGAAAGGTCATGATTTCATATGTCAATAGTATTTGATGTTAAAGAAAAGAATAAAAAGAAGGGAGGGCTACAATCTCTGTTTTTTCTGTGATTCCCACAAATAAGATTGTGTTTCCTCCCCCTTTTTCGTTAGCTTATTGATTATTTGTCATGGAATCCCAAGAAATTTAATATCACTCTAGGAGCTTGGGTATAGGTACATGCTTATGTTTGTGTGTGTATATATATATAGATATATAGACTATATATTCGTCCTATGATCTGCTCCAACTGTTCTACTACCTAAACTATCCTATCGTATCCAGTCCGTAATATCCTTCTTCTCAATCATATCTACCTCCACCCCACATAGTTACATGTTTCTGGAGCTATCTGGATTACTCAGTTGAATTCAGACCATAGGATTTAATCTGTATAATCTGGATCAGAATTCTAGCGACAATAGTAGTGACGAAGATTAGAAATAATTATCTATTTCCTGGTTGTTTACGTAAAATGCTTGATAAGATATTCTAATGGGGTTATTATAACAATTTGCATCTTAATTTTTTGTTTGCTTTGAATTGTGTCTGTTTTTCTCATTAGGCATCTACTTCCACATTTTTTTAAAGAAAATATATATTTTCAATTTCTATTGTGGAGCAGGAGCTTCTGCATACCGATTACTGATACTAGAATTTCCTTACTGTAGGTGAATGGGTTGCTTGCTCTGTTGGTGCTAATTTTACACCTCATATCATCACTGTTAATTCCGGTGAGGTATGCATTTGGACTTTTGATCTATAGTGAGCCGAAATCACTTCTAGTGATTTTGATCAATCAGGCAAAAAGGAGTTCTTTATGTTTTTGCATCTGCAACAAGCAAAAAGAAAAAATAACTGAATTTCTGAGAAATTTTGTGGAGTACTACTCTAGGGGTTGTTGGAATTTATGTAAGCAGGGAGAAAGTGCTGAAAATAGTTGAACATCAGTTTCTGCAGTAAAAATTATACTAACTTTAGTTTTGATTTTGTCGTTTTAGGATGTAACGATGAAGATCATATCATTTTCTCAACAAGGACCTCGAGCGATTTGCATTCTCTCGGCTAATGGTGTTATTTCAAGTGTTACACTTCGTCAGCCAGATTCTTCTGGCGGTACATTAACATATGAGGTGATGTAGTGGGACCTAACTCTTATTTTTCTTCTGAAATCTTGGGTAGCATACACTGTAAAGCTTCCCCCATTATATTAGTCCCCAGATTTTCTATGAATAGTTTTGGACCCATAAAACATATGCCTCTCTGTAGAATACATATCAAACTGAATTTACTGAACTTATCGTCTCTGTGGCTGAAGCATTATTTATATCTCCTCTGAAGCACTTTTACTGGGAATATCCAATTTGTTGTTGCTATATTTCTTTGTGTAATTTGAAGGGCACATGGGCATTCCTCTGCTGAAGTTCTATTTATTTGCTTGTTTTAGAAGCAGTTTAGATACTTCAGAACTACTGAGAATCATGATGCTTGATTTAGTTGTTATATCATCTTTGGATAAGCCACTATAAACCTGCCAGTTGGGTATTGCTGCCTTAGTCAATTCATTTGATTTCTCTGTTCCTTTTTAAATTTTCTGCAATTAAGGATCACTAAGATGTCGTTTCTACTGTTTTTCTTCAGGGCCGATTTGAGATACTGTCTTTATCTGGTTCTTTTATGCCCAACGACAATGGGGGAACCAGAAGCCGATCTGGTGGGATGAGTGTTTCATTAGCAAGTCCAGATGGACGTGTCGTGGGCGGTGGAGTTGCTGGTCTACTAGTAGCTGCTAGTCCTGTCCAGGTTTGTATTCGTTATTTCCAAATTAGTAGTTATTTTCTTTATTGAAGAAGCAGAAATTTAGAAGCTTTTTGGAACAAATTTTTAAAAGTTTTGTTGTCTAAGGGAGGACAGTTTTCGGGATTGGTTACTTATGATATTGCAAATACAATTATAATGTCTAACCCTTTTTGTTGGTGGATCAGGTTGTGGTAGGCAGTTTCTTAGCGGGGAACCAGCACGAGCAGAAGCAAAAGAAACAAAAGCACGAGATAATAAAAACTACAATAACAACTACCGCTATTCCTGTTTCTACTGCTGATCCCAGAGCAACCCCCACCCTCTCATCATCGTCCTTGCGTGGAGAAAACTGGTCTTCATTGCCATCGGATTCAAGAAACAAATCAACAGACATTAATGTATCTTTGCCAGGTGGGTAAACACCTATAGAGGGTCAACTTGTCTCCGGAATTGAACCTCACCTGGGTTGCTTTTGTTGTCTGTAAACTACGAAATATTTATCAGTATGAGCATGTTTATGATTTTTTCATGGCGTTTTTGTTTCAAGTAGCATTTTTAGTTGATGAGCTGATTAGGTAGAGTTGTGCTGGTGTTGTGTAACCTGTAATGTAGAATATTTTTACATGTCGATTTTCGGAGTGATCGAGTTTGTGGTTCAGAAAGAAAAAATACCAGAGTTGTCTTTGTGATTTCTTGTTAATTCTGAGCTACGTCCCTACAGAATTGACTGTAACCTTCTGAAGAAACATATTGATTGTTGTTCATTTTCAGATTTTTATTTTTTTAAATTTAGTGTTTCTTGCTTAAATTTAGACCACCAGGCAGCAGCACTTTTAAAAGTTGGCAATTAGCAGAAGTGAAAGAGGACCATGAATATGTGAAAATTGTTGGAGACCCAAACAAAATTACACCAATTCTTAAAATGTGTGTTTATATATATATATATATATATATATATATATATATATATCACTTGTAAATTTAAGTTTATGTTAATTAATATATATATTTTTTTCAAAATTTCCTTTTATTTTGTTATTATTTTTTCTTTCTTATTTGGTTAGATATTTTTTACTCTGAAATTGTATGTATTTTTAGATTTTTTTTTTTGCTTTTAAGTTACTTTTACTCTGAAAATAACCTCAATTCTTAACATGTGTATATAATATATATAAATCAGTTGTATTTTTAAGTATATATATGTTAATTAACAACTTTTTTATGTTTTTCATAATTTTCCTTTATTTTGTTATTATTTTTTCTCTCTTATTTGGTTAAATATTTTTTACTTTTAAATTATATTTATTTTTTAGATCTATATATATACTTTTTCACTTTTGAGTTACTTTTACTATTTAAAGTTATTTTCTCCGAAATCTAATTATATTAAATTATGTATTTATTTATTTTTGCTAATTTTCGTTGTTACTTTTTTAGATTATTTATTTCTTTATTTTTACTTTTCTATAAATTCGTTTATTATTATTATTATTTATTAGGTAAAATATTTCTTACTTTTTTGAATTATTTTTATTTTTAATGATTAGCTTTTGCTTTTAAATCAAATCTGCTTTTTCTATTAATTTTCTTTTTGAAATTTTGTTCTTATTATTCTTGTTAATCAAAACTAATTTTATTTTTTATTTATGTTTTTAGAAATTAATTATTTTAAAGATTTTATTTATTAAAATGTTTATGATTATCAGTATTTTATTGTATTTAATTTCCCTCTATTATTTCCCAAAAAATCTACTAATCACTAAATTAAATTTCTCTCTTAAAATCCTTCTTTATCTTCTTTTCGCCTTGTACTTAAAAAATGATTATGCTTAATTATTAATTTTAGAAAAACAAATGTTAAAGATGAAGATTTAAGATTAAAATAAAAATTGAATCAGCCGCTGTTTACCCTTCAAATTTTCTTTTAGCACCATCATACCAATCCCATTATTAAATCTTTCATGTTTTAGCCTTTCCCTAATTAAATAAAAACAACATAATTATATTTCCACCATAAAAATGTAATAGAAAATTATACTTTGACCCAAAGTTTTATTAGATTGTATAAAGAGATTTTGAAAATAAATAACTTTATATTATATTTTTAAAGATTATCTTTTTTTTTATCTTTATAATATACAATTAATTTCTGAAATTTCATAATATTTAAGAAACATTTAAGAACATGGGTTCGTCTGCACATTCTATTGAACTTTGATGGTCTGCACATTCTAATCCTCCTTTTTGTCATTTTTACTAAAATTTATATGCTCACAATCGGAACAACACCAAGAAAATAACAGATCCCAGGCCAAGTATGAAGTTCAGTACCATCGTCTTTATTTTCGGTTTAACTCAACTACATCCAGGATTTAGACAAATAAAGATTAGTTGCATAACCAAGTAATTTAATTACATCTAATCCAATGGCACATCTCTGATGTTCAATAACCTTGTTGACCAAAAAACAGATATACATTCACAAATTTCTTTACTATCTTCTATACTAGTAAGTTTCCATTGCTTCACAGGCCCATATAACACTAGTTTATAATGAGATTACACTCAAACTCGATCATACTTTCTGGGAAAATCACCCATCATACTAATACTACCCTGCTAAGCAAATTAGCTATTTAAATTACGGCATTCATTCCCCGGAGACTTCTACACCATCCTTGTATAAGTTAAACTTCATCTGAAACCAAGGGGCTTACCTCTTCCCCTAGTGCAACCAACATTACTTCTACGGGGAAGAAAAATGAAGCTAAACTGGATATCAATTCCCAATTCCCTGATTCTTTGTTTAGCTACTATCGTTGTATTAATATTTTTCTCGTCAATCCCAGAACTTCTAGTTCTTCTAATATCATCTACTTCTCTCCA